TTAGGATATTTCACCAGATTGTGCGAAAGACAATAAATGATTTTCAACATTCAGATCTTTTAGATCTCCACACTCAGCTCCACTGGCTACAATTTACAATTTTTTAATAAATATAAATAAAAATTTAAATAATGATAAATAAATTTTTACTGATATATGGATATAAATTTCTTTTTCATAAATATCATAAGGTCATATGCATATTGCTAATACCCCTTTTTTAAAACATTTAGTAGATGTACATCATAAGAAAACTAAGATAAAATGCATTATCACAATATTTTATCTAAATCATACTACTTTTGACACGAATTTGATTAAAAAGTAGTTATTTCCAGATTTCTTTCTCTTATCATTTCAGACTCATAAAAAAGCAATTAGTAAAAACCTAACTATGGCTAAGAAATGCAATACATTAAGTATTTTTATTTAAAAAATGTATGCATTTTCTTAGCTTTTTTGCAAATGAAATAAGATATCACAATCATGCCCGCATCTGCTGATTCGATACTCTTATCCGCCGATACAGTGGTCATAGATAAGCATCACAGAACTAATTTCCAATGATTATTTTTGGAAATTATATAAGATTTTACGAAAATAAGGTTTTTCCGCAAACTGTTAGATTTACTTTTATACTTAAATATTTACACTCAAACAATTTTTATGCTATTTTTCGTTAGAACTTCCTCAAAAATATATTGCAGTGTAATCTTACTCCAAAATTCAGGCTAGAAGATTGAACTAATCTAAGTTTTGTTGACTCCTTTGAATAGGAAAATCTCGTTTCTCAGAAATTCCACAAAATCGTCTTCTGATGTATGCCAATGCCGACAAACGATTCTTTTTTTCAAAAATATACTACATAGTAAATCAGTCTTTTTTAAAACGAGCTATTTAAAGAGGAGCATCTATACATGTACAATATGATCTGTAATATCACCATCCAATTAAATAACACTTTTTAATTAAAAATAATATTACTGAATTCGTTTTCATACTCTGATTGGTTTATAAATGCGAATTTCAATTACAGACTATAAAATACATATTATATATTAATAGGCATTACCTTGTAAGAAACAAGTCTTAGTTTGTAGGTTTACATGAAGACTTGAAAACTGAAACAATAAAAAAGCTTCTTAAAGGAATTAATAAAAGTTTCTATGAAAAGGCAATAAATTGTGATCATCTCAGTGTTTTTAATCTTTTCGGTTATTCAACAGTATTGCATGAAAACAATGACCTTCGAAGCATTAGCAGCCCACCTTATCACGACTCCAATTTTTCGACATAGAATTTTGCATTCCTCCACCTTGAAATAGCGCATATTTAATCACATTGGTTGTGATTTTTACCTTATTTCTTATATCTTCTTGTATTTTAAGTATTTTATATGCTTAAAATTGTTGTGCATCATTGTACCTTAATATTATATGTGCAGTTAATGCAAATACTGTTCCTGACGTTGCATACAGTTTTCAAATACTATCATGCTTATTTCATATTAACTTCAGAAAGTGTTCCAGCTCCAGTTTGTTCCAATCGAGTCCTTGTTTTGCTTTGGTTTTTCTTAAAACCTGAGATTCATATGACTCACCTTTCATTCCGAACCTGGGCTCAAGACTGCAACATATGAAGCCTTCATGTGGCACTATGCTCTGGTTTAATTACGATTTCAGTCACAAATTGAGAAATACCGGAGCCCAAATACTCGTATGTTAGGTCTCCTACTGAATTTTTATCCTTGGATACAGTACATTTTGCATTTATTTATTAAAGAAGGTAAAAAAGTACAGTACACAGCATATTTTAATTAGTTGTAACATCATTAAATGGAGTATTACGGTATGTTACAGTATGTTTTAATAATCTTACCCCCATTAAAATATACTGTACACTCAGGCCCGGATCGAATAGGTGCGGGGCCCTATCGGATTTTTCTTTTTTTTTTTTTTTTAGCGGGGACTTCTCCATATATTAAATATTTAAATAAAATTCAGATTCGGTATATATATATATATATAAATATATCAAATGTAATGGATCATCAGACAGGTAAACTTCTACATACGTAAATTCATCTACATACTACATCTCGTAAATTAAAAAATAAAAATGTTCAAAATACAAAAACATTTATTGAATATAAATTTACATCACAGAATATGAATACATGAATTTACATATTTCTAAGTCTTTGTTCTGTAAATTCTTATAAAATTGTTTGAAAATCTAATTTCCTTGCTTCTTCACTTTTCTATGTTATAAAGTAATAATAAACTTATAATAATAAACACATTAATTATAAACATAACACATAATAATATAACACATAACTGTAATTATAAAGTTATAATAATAAACACATTAATAAATCTCATCCAGCAATGCGAACTTAAAATAAATATATTTTTAATTATTTGAAAAATTCATAATTTATCCATTATCGTCAAAAGCAATTTGCTTTAAATTACGAATTTTTTTTTCCTTCATTTTGATGGTAACCCTGGGCCCTTTCAAATGCGGGGCCCCGTTGGGCCCATTCGCTCCAATCGTCCTTTATCCGACACTATGTACACTATAATATTTACATTAGGTCTTGCAGTGCAATATTTATCAATTAATAGTGACTGTAGTTAAGTATTTTACATACATAACCTGCTTTGTATAGCACTTGCTGTATCGGTTCCATGCACGCGTATAAGTCTTGGAACGTATTATCCACAGATACATTTTTATAATACTTACGTTACCGGCAATGTATGTATCGCCTGCATTCTACAGAATACGTTAGCCTTTAATGGAATGCCTGGTGTTTTCGGGCAAAGTACGTATTTTCCCTGGGCATTGTATATAATACCTAGGCATTCTATAGAATGACAAACGCTATTTCGGCAAAGTATGGAAAACGGCATGGTAAGGCTGTTATTTCAAGGCGTGTATTTCTAAAAAATATAATTGTTATTTTGAAAAAGTAATGAAAGGGTGCCATTAAAACTTTTTTTTTTCCAAATACATAAAGAAAAATGAAATTTTTACAAAGCAAAATTTACGTCTTTCTTATTAAAAAGAATAACGTATGAAAATGTATGAAATTAATGCATTTTTTCTTTTAACTTCACAAAATTGGCAGCTGACCTGTTTGCACTTTCAGCCAAAGTTGGGAATGAATATAAGTGCATGGATTATGTGTGAATGTATTAAATGTATGGATATTCGAAACGAATCGGAGATGTATTCATACTTTGTCAGTTAGTGATTTGGCATTCTGTAGAATGCCTAAGAAATGTATAACATGTTTATCGCTTCATACACTACCGACAGTTTTCGGCATTCTACAAAATGCTTAGATATTCTGCAGAATGTGAGCTTTTATAACTTGCCGGTTACGCTTATAAAAAGATTACCAAATGAAGTATCTCAGCAAAAATCTCACTCATATCTTACTCAAAAATGCTATTCAGAAAAAAACTAAATACTATGGTTTAAAATTAAGATCCTTAAAGATACCTCTAATTTTTTATCACATCTCCTCCACATTCAAGATAAAATGTTATGTCAAGATAAAATGCCTCTTCCTTTTGTTAAAATAAGCATACTTGATGAAATTTTCAAATCTTTAAAATACTTAGTATGTACGAGAGTTATTTTTTTTAACCTCCGATAGGCTATAAAGAAAAGACGGTTGAATATACAAAAAAGATTTTATTACCAAAAGTAATGTACAATACAGGCTATTTCTCTACATAATCACCTTGACGACTGAGCCATTTGTCATATCTGTGAACAAGCCTCCACGTCATTTTGGAAGCGCTTCCCGCCAAGCCACTGCTTCAGTTCAGGGAACAGATGAAAGTCACTCGGCGCTAGGTCGGGACTATATGGTGGATGTTCGAAAATGTCCCACTGAAATTGCTGAAGGAGCCGTTGGGTTACACGAGCGCTGTGAGGACGGGCATTGTCGCGGATCAGAACAATTCCAGAAGTCAGCATGCCTCTTCGTTTGTTTTGAACAGCTCTCCGTAAGCGTCGCAAAGTTTCACAATATGAATCTGCATTAATTGTTGTTCCAGGCTGCATAAACTCCACAAGCAACACACCTTTTTGTCCCCAAAAAACAGTTGCCATAACTTTACGATTGTTAAAGGTTCGTTTGAATTTTGTGGGTCTCTTTGGAGAATTTGTGTGCATATAGTTGTGATTGTCGTTTCGTTTCGGGCGTGTCATATTGAACCCATGTCTCATCACTTGTCACAATGGATTTCAAAAACTCTTCTTCGTCAGCATTGCAACGGTCAAGAAACTCAAACGCTGCAACCATTCGGCGAGTTTTGTGGTCGTCAGTCAACGTCTGTGGAACGCAGCGAGCGCAAACTCTGTAGCGCAACTGTTCAGTAACGATAGAGTGTAGGGAAGATCTTGAAACTTCCGTAAATTTCATCGATAATTCACTTATGGTGAACCTTCGATTTTGCTTAACCGCTTGGTCAACTCGTTGAACAATGTCGTCTGTAGCGACAGACTTGCGTCCTTGACCCCCTTCATCATGCACATCAGTTCGGTCATCTTTAACTTTCGACACCATTCACGAACAATGCCATCACTCATAAAGCTGTTTCCATACACTCGACTCATTCTTCGATGAATATCCGTTGCACTGTTCCCTTTTGCCTGCAAAAAACGAATAACAGCTCGCAATTCACGCTTGGCAGGAGAATCAATAGCGACGGCCATGTTTACGTGACTGCAACTCAACAGAAAATGGCGTGTTGAATCAGCGCCTCCTAGGAGCACTGGTTGAATACGCCAGTGACAGAGCGTGTTGAGGGGAAGATGCGCAGTCGCCTACTACGCACACCAACCACCTGCCGCATACCTGGCCATCATACTGTGCAATCGGAAGTTGAAAAAAAAAAAAAAAACAACCTACGTACAATAGTTTAGTTCTTTCTATAAAATTCTTTGTAGTTCTTTTTTTAGTTCTTTGTAAAACTAACTCATTCAAAAGTGATAATTTTAGGAACATCTTCAAATACATAGTATTTATGATCAATAGAATTTTCGCCTAATTTAACAATCCTAAATCCAGATTCATCGAATCCAAGTTGGCATCCTATAGCTGATGTAACAACTACTTCCATATCCTTATAAAACCCTCCAGCATTTCGATGATAATGGCTACAAAATATTGCTTTGACATCTGTGGGAAAAAAAATGATGATGGTTGATTTCATAGAAATCCTTATTTCAGGTTTAAAAATATATTAAAATATATGGCAATAATTAAATAAAGGCATACGTACACACAACATATATAATTAACATAGAGTTAAAATATAGCTGTAATATTATTTTCTTCCCACCTACATCTAATTATACAATTTCTTTAAATTTTGTGAAAATGATTCCACCGCTGTGAGTGGAAGGTTTCATTAAATATCCCAAGTGATTCAAAAGTCATGCATATCAAATTTTCAAAAATTGTGGATATTCCGAAACGGATATTATTGGCATATTATTTGAAGTGATGACACCCCTGTATTATTATAATAATACTGTAAGGTTTATCCTAAGTCTTTAACAATTAATTTTGAATTAAAGTCACTTTCCTATACTTCTTATTTTCAGCTTACAATTTTCTGCCAGAGCTTGTTTTCAGAAACGCGGTTAAATGCAAATGAAGGAAGAGCAAAGATTTAAAGTTCTACTGACTTACTGACTACTGACTTAGAGTTACGGGGCCAACTCTTATAGAATTTTGATAGCTTCGGTTATATCTTTTTAGTTTAATTAAGTTTTATTTCTTTATATTCCTGAATTCAAGCCCAATTGGAGGCTTTGTTGTAAACTCCAAAAAGGAGTCAACTGTCAAATTTATTTTGAATAATAAAAGGTAATTAGCCCTTCGTACTTTTATACGTTTCTATCTTTCTGAACTAAGCGATTATTCGCTTATCAGTTCTTAAAATTCCACACTTTAAGCTGTGAATTCTAAGTTGTAACACTACAATATATTACTCGAAATTTTATTATAACCTGTTTTATATAGCATTTATATGCAGTTTATGCTGTAAGCTTTGAAAAACGTTCATTTGGTGCAAAATGGAGATGAGTTTTTCTTAAGCAGAACGAATTTTTTTTAATTGAGCATTATTTCGTAATGAATAAATTTGACTACGATACCATCGTTCTGAAAGAAAATATTTTAACAAAGAATAATTATCTATTAACAAATGATTCAATAGAAAACTTTATTTAGAAAGGAATGAAATACCCGAAAAATTAAATAATTGTCTTGACGCAAAACTGTAATTGGGCAAAATGGAGCGAGATGTCTCCTGTAATCAGAGAAATCACGTTTCTTTAAAATCTGCAATATTAAAAACTGAATTTCCCTTGCTGAAAGCAATTGAAAATGAAACCTATCATAGCGATCACCTCTAAAAGTAGATTGAATTCCTGAGAACATAAATAAAATGTTACTGAACATCAGTTACATCAGTCATATTCTCTTAGGCGGCCACTTTTAGAGAAAACAGAAATCTTTTGGAACTGCTGGATCTGTTGATGCTTTAGTTGTGATCTTACTTTCTTAAAATTAATTTTTAGCTTAAATGTTGCTGCGTTACAATTGCAACCATGCCTTCGAGGCACTTTGGTATCGCACCACTATTTAGTCCCCATAATACTCCTAACCACTATACCGTCTGCGCGACGAAAGCAAATATTTAAAAAAAAAAAAAAAAAAAACTTTAAAAAAAAACTTTAAAAAATTATCATTAAAAATACAGCCATGAAAAATTTTTCTAAAATGAAAATATTGAAAAACATTTACTCAGAAAAACAGTTTTATAACTGTACATGTCAGCAAACCTATTCGAAGCTCCGAAACTTTAAAGTTGCTTCAATTTAAAATTCAGTGCATTAAAATTATTACATATTGTTACAAATTGTGTATGTAAAGAAATTTAGTGAAATTGTAGGGTTAGAGAGACGATGCTCTGCCGGAAAAAAAGAATACAAGTCTATTTAACATTGAGTAAATGATTAAGACACAATAACACGCCGAACAAATACTAATTCAGAAGTCAAACAACAAAATTTGAAAATATAACGCTGATTTCTGTTGTTTGACTCCTGAATTAGTATTGAGTAAATAGTTATCTCACTAAACTGGCGAGATATCGTCAAGCCAGCAATGTGTTAGGCGACTAATTTTTGTTACCAAATTTGGCGAAAAATTACCAAAAGTCGCCAACTTTGGCGACATTTTGGTAATGTCCCTGTATAACTGTAATGAGGTTGTAATTAAATAACTGTAATTAATGCTATATGTAGCTGTAACTTTATCCAGCCTTCATATACCTTCCAGTAATTTCGAGAAATGAAAGGTACTATAAATCTCTCGGTGGTCAGAGATGCGCTTTGCATTGCATTTTACTGGTTGTGCTCCATGAAACTATGAAGAACTGTCCAAGTACTTGTGGAAAGTTCCAGAACTGTGAATTGTTGCTTTTGGTAAAATATATTTTATCAAGCTAAATCAGTTCTACGTGCACGCAATTCTGTTACGAACTCGTACGCACGCAGGCAGTATAAATACTAGAATTCAAAGATCAACTTTGTGAAGCTTATGAAGGAAGAAAAATTCAGAGTTTATTGAAATTACAACCTTATCTAAAAAAACCTCATTTTTAATTAAATTGAAAATAGTAACGATTATTCATAAATTATTCAAATTCCTGTTACAGTATGTTTTCTCATACTTACCAAGTAAGGACATTCAAAAAACTGTGAATTAAGTACTATGAACATCACACCATCACAGTAAAAAGTAAAATAATCGTCACCAAATCTGTCACGATAATTTTGTACAGTTGCTGACGTTGGTACGTTATCTATGTCATGATTTCCGCACACACATACCAAAGGAATATCAGGATGCAGTTTCTTAAAAATATGAATGAAATCTTTGTCTTGTGCATTACAATATTCAGTCCCTAAAACGAAAAAGAGAAAGAATTTTTTTTATTGGGTTATATTTATTTTTCCTTTTTACGCAAAAGAATATTAAAAGACAACTGGTTCTTGAAAGCTGTTTTAAAATAAACATGCATAAACCATTTATTTAATACACTCCCTAACAAAAGCGGATGTCAGCACTCTAGAATGAATTGACCTGCTTACAAAAGGATGCATAAGCTGCCCTATAAAGCACAATTGTCGTTAGTACGAACAATATGCAAGGATGATGCACATTCGGATGCATAGATAATATACATACCAGGGCTTTGGGTGCTACGATGTTAGCAAAAACAATTTCTAGACAAGGTTTCTCAAACTGAGTTCCGCAAACAATCACTAAGTGTTCTGCGGAAAAATTATGAAACTGAGAGAACAATGAAATATTGTCCGCTTTTATGTAATTAACACAGTTTGAAACAACTCTTAAAAGGAATTTAAAGAGAAACAATAAATTAAAATTGTTTAAATCACACAATTAATACATTTAGTACTGTATCATGATAACAGTGTAAGGATCCTAAGTTTTGCTAACGTTTATTTTATTTTAAATCTTTACTATCACTTCTTATTTTCTACTGCCGGCCAGAATTAAAAGCTTTTAACTTATTTATGCAAATTTGTCTTGCTAACGCCAAGTACTTAAGTTGTGGCTTTTTGCCAAGCAAGAGAGAGGAAAGAGTTATTGGAAGCAGGCCGCTTGCCATAGTAGTTTTACTCGGTTGCTGGTTGCCTTCAAGGCCAGAGGTTTAATCCTCTTGATAATTTTAAACGTATCGTAGTTTTAGCAGCTCTCTGTACTACATACGACTTTTTGTTAATTAACGGTCAATCTTGGAGTTAGGCACTTGTTTATTAATCCAAAGTTAGTTTAGTTAGAGTTTTAGTTAGTATTTTTATATTCTTACGTTCAGACCACAAGTGGTTGGTCTCTGTATTCCGAAGTCCGGAAATCGTTGTAAAGAGAGAAAAATAAAGGGTTTCGTATACCCTTCCTGTGCGTATTGTCTACTTCACAAATTATTGAACATAGCTTTAGTAAGCTCCCTGTTCCGAGTCAGGTCATTTAATGTTCCCAAAGCAAGTAAGGAGGAATACTGAACCTGATAGTGGCGCCCGACGAAGGAGAATAACCATGGCCGAGTTTCAAGAAGAACCTGTGCTGCCTGCAGAAGCGGCTCAGAATCCAGAAATGCCAGCTGCCGCCCTGGAAGGATTTGGTTACATCGTCCAGACCATGCGCGCATCGATGAAACCAGAAGCAACATTTAATGGAAACTCACCGATAATCAGTTTTTTTGGAAAAATTGGATGACCACTTCATGCTGTATCCAGTACATGAGTTCCAGAAAGTCACCTTAGCTACCAGCGCTTTGAGGGGCCAAGCGCTTAATTGGTTCAAATGTATAGGCAGAAGTCTCTTGGGTCAAGCGGGAAGTCCCACCTATACTTACGAAAATTTTAAGACTGCCTTAGTAAAAGCCTTCCCTGCCGTAAGAGATCGTGCGAAATTAGAAACGGAACTCTTCAGCATATATCAGCAATGAATCGAAAATCTTTCCACCTTCATTTTAAAAAAAAATTCACGTCTTTAAACTCTTGTATGGAAACCGTCCGGATCCTGAGATAATCCAAGTGATTTTGCCGAGGTTACTTCCCCAAGTACAAGACTTTATTGAATTAAGGAATCCGACTACACTGGAAAAGTTATTTGAGCTAGCAATCCAGTTTTGAAGTAGAAGAACGGCGGACATTGAAAGAAGACGCCAGTATGAGCAACGAAACCAATTTGGTGCGCCAAGACCACAGCAAAGTCAAGCACACGGCTACGGAAGCAAAGCGAATCAGTGGGCAAGGAAACCCGAGTATCCAAAAACAGCCGGCGAACGTCGACAGTTCAATAGTAAGCCAGAAAAAAAGTCTGAAGACCAGCGGAAAAACAAGGAAGGCATGGAAAGGAAGAAAAAAAATTTAAACTAAAACGGATTTCTGCTGACAGGAGGGTGTGGAAATCCGAAGGCCAAGAAAACCCCTCTTCCTTCAAGTTAAATACAGTTATGGTGAAAAATTTTACTCTTCCAAAGATTGAAGTTCTGGTCAATAACATCCCAGCCACCGCACTCCTGGATACAGGCGCGCAGTGTTCCTGTGTGGCAGAAGATTTTTTTAGGAAGTATTACCGTAGATACCGTATATATAATTCGGATAATACGACAGTATTAGCTGCGCAGGGAGAAAGATGCAAGTGCATAGGTAAAATACCATTATACGTTTGTATCACGGACGAGCAAGTAAAAATCATGTTTTTTTATCGTAAAAAATTTACAAACACATGTCATTTTAGGGATAGATTTTCTTTCAGAGGCGGAAGCAACGCTGGATTTTAACGAAGCGTCCCTTAAGCTGACGATGAAACTAGTTCGAGAAGAAAAAACAGAACCACCGTCGTTAAACCTCGACCACCTGCCTAAGGAAGAGCAACAAAAAAATCGACAAGTGGTAAGTGAATTTGCTTCGTTATTTAGTGATATTCCCGGATTTACTCAAGTTACTAACCATAGTATTGACACCAGAGATTCACTGCCAGTTCGCCACAAACCATACCGGTATGATAAGAATAAAGGAAAAATTATAGAGTGGCACATTAGAGATAAGTTACGTAAAAAGATCATAACGCCCATCTCAAGTAGTTACGCTAGCCCGGTGGTTTTATGTAAGAAAAACAATGACTATCCAGTAACACATCCAAAAAGTGGCGTTTTGCGATTGACTATCGTAAATTAAACTCCATGACTAAATATCCGGTATATCCGTTACCTATTATTGAAGAAATTCTAAGGAACATAACGTCTACCAAATACATGACGACTTTTGACTTAACGACTGGATATTTTCAAATAGGGGTTAGACCGGAAGACGTGCCTAAGACTGCTTTTATAACCAAGTCTGGCACTTATACATTCCTGCGCATGCCGTTTGGCCTTTCAGGGGCACCGGCAACATTTCAGCGATGTACGGACATTGTGCTAAGGCCTGTTCTTGGAAAGTCCACATTTATCTATTTAGATGATATCATTATTACTAGTGATAATCTGGACCAACATGTACATGATTTAAGACAGGTGTTTTCATTATTAAATGAGGCCGGTCTAAAAGTTAATGTCGAAAAGTGCAAATTTGCAGCCCCTGAATTAAAATACTTAGGTTACAAAATATCTCAGAAAGGAATCGAGACAGACGAATTAAAAAATAATCGCTCTGCAAAAATATCCGCCGCCAAATACGGCGAAGAAGCTCTCTTCTTCTAGGACTTTGTTCATATTATAGGTCCTTTATAAAAGATTTAGCAGCTATTGATGAACCATTGTTAAAACTAATAAGGAAAAAGGCAAGATTCTCGTGGACGGCCGAAGCCAATAGTGCTTTCGAAAAATTAAAGCAAGCATTAACGCAAGCCCCTGTTTTGAAATTTCCTGAGAACGATGAGAATTTAGAAATTTCAGCGGATGCTTCGGATTATGCGGTGGGAGCGGTACTTTCGCAAAATCAGCAGCCCGTGACATTTTTTAGTAGAACTTTATATCAAACACAAAGAAATTATTCCGCGACTGAGAGAGAGGCACTTGCAGTTCTGTTAGCAGTGCAAAAGTTCCGAGTTTATTTTGGAAGGGCGCCAATAACAGTGTATTCTGATCATGCGGCGGTAACTAGATTTTACTCAGGGAAAAATTTATCCCCAAGATTAATAAGACGGGCACTCAAGTTACAAGAGTATAATCTGGTAATCAAGCACACCCCCGGAAAGGAAAATATCGTAGCAGATGCCCTATCCAGAATAAAAATAGATGAAGAAGGTAATACTGTAAAGGTGGCAATGCTCACAGCATGTACGATACATTCCCGAGAAACTGTATTAACCGAACTGGGTAAGGATCCTGAATTTAAAAACATTTATGAGTATTTAAAGGATCCTGAAAATTTTAGCCATCAAGATATTGTGGCGATAAGAAATAGGGCGGCCCATTACGAACTAAAAGATGGTCTATTATTTTATACAAAAACTACGAATTCCAACAACGAATTTAGACCTGTTATTCCAGCTAGTCTTAGATTAAATATACTTCAGGAGTTACACGACTCCCCATTAGCTTCTCATGCTGGTATTCGAAAAACCATTCAACGCGTACGCGAAGCAGTTTATTTTCCTGAGCTGCAAAAGTTAACAAGGCGTATGTCCAGTCCTGCCCAACATGTCAAGCAGTTAATTATATTAATTTCCGCCCGGCCGGGTTTCTAAATAGCATTAAATCCGAATTTCCAAATGAAATAATTGGCATCGATTTATTGGGCCCTTTCCCAAAAAGTCAGTTAAATAAAAGTCGGTATCTCCTTGTTATGGTTGATCATTTTAGTAAGTGGACCGAAATTGTTCCCTTAAAACGAGCCTCCGCGAAATTAGTTACTGATTCTATTTTAAATAAATATATTTTAAAATACGGGGCGCCCCTAAAAGTTATATCGGATAATAGTCTCAATTTGTAAGTAATATATTTGAAGACATGTGCCAAAAACTGGGCATACGTCATTTAAAAATGGTCCCGTATCGGCCGCAATCAAATATAGCGGAACGGGTCAATAGAAATATAGAGAAAATTATCCGTAGTTATGTTAAAAATTTTCATAAAAGCTGGGATAACTATGTCAATGAATTAGCTTTCGCCCTTAGGACCGCAAAACATGATACGACAGGCAAAACACCTGCTGAGTTATTTTTAGGCAGAAAGATTATAACGTCGTTAGATAAATTATTTTATGTTCAACAAAGAGCCCCAGAATTTCAAATGGGCGATATAGAAAAATTAATTAAAGAAGCAAAAAAGAACACTGAAGTAGCACAAGAGAAAACAGAAGCTTTTATTACGATATGAAACGACGGGGAGTAACTTATAAAGTAGGGGATGAAGTGTTAAAAATTAAG